GTAAGCAGCGTTCCTCCATGGCCTGTGCTCCAGCTCCTGCCTCCAGGTTCCTGCCCTGAGTTCCTACCTTGGGCTCCCTGATGAACTGTGACCTGGGAGATATAAGGCAAATAAACCCTTTCCTCCCCAAGTTGGTACTGGTCAGAGTATTTTGTCACAGCAATGAAGAAACAGACTAAGACAGATGGATATCAAAATAAATGGAGAATGAATGACAGATAATATATAAATAAAAAATAAAGAGACTAGAGATAAAAGGAAGGTAGGAAAGTTCTGCAGGAGGCAAAAGGGAAAAGAATCTAGGGCAAAAGGAATAGTGGTAAACCCTATCAAATGAGACAGAAACGAAAGAAAGAGAGATGAAAAGCTTTGGCAGTGTCCTCAACTCTCCCATCAATGGAGCATACCAGATAACTGCAAATGTCTCTGCCTGGATGGACACTCTACATTTCTAAGGTAGCATTATGATTTAGGACATACTTGTCTCCTGCCTACATATACCTGTAATGGTCATGGAACACACTAAGTTACCTGAGAAAAGTTAAAGACTGGTTGCGTTGTACCCCATGAGATGACAGATCTGGTGACTTCTTCTGTGCTGAAGAGTTTGCAATTTAAATAAACATTGCATGCTGGTTGTTTCTCAGATTCTCCAGTGACAAAATCTTTCCCATCTGGCACCATCAGCAGTACATGCAATAGCAAAGCATTTTCTTTGGTTGACCCATTTTTCTGATGTATCAAATTATGAGAAGCTGGAAAAGCCATGAAGACTGAAGAATCTGGGACTATAGAGTTTGGTGATTTGGGGCTGGGGAGCACTAAATTCTGTGTTTTCTTTGCTGTTTCCTCACAAATTTGATTGGAGTTCTGTGGACTTTTGGTATAGGCAGTATCTTGACTTGGTTCTGGCAGTCTCTTATCTGGACTTGTAGTAACACAAAGTGGAGTATGTTGGGTGCTGCTACTGAACTTCGCACTGACACCAGTGTAATCCTTGTTGCTTATAACAAGCTCCATGGTTACCTATAAAACATAAAAGGAGAAGAGTCAGCTAGAATGCCTGGTAGAACGGGAATCAGAATTTTGGAGCTGGAGGTGATAGAAATTAAAAACCAAATTAATTCAACCTCAAATACCAAAGTATAAGGACCACATACACATCCATTTGCCAGACTATAAAACGTGAGGCAGATTATTTATCAACAGTGTAAGATGAACTGGGAAAACAATCTTGTACCAGAAAATAAGGAAATGCTCAGAAAATGATGGAGACACATTAAAAAGGTCATAGACTGCAGCTGAAGAGGCTCTTACTGGCTAAATCTAGGATAATTTTGAGCATGAAAATGAGTAATAGCAGCAGATTATATAACCTACTGAATAATGTAAGAATCTGTACTAACATAAAATTAACATGGGGTACAGAACAACTCTTCTTTATTATCATGCAGAAGACTATCAGTTAGTAAGCAAGTGCTCTGAGAGAGCTGGAGATGTAGTTCTGTGGTAGAGCACATGCCTAATAGGCACAAAGTTCGTTCAATTTCCAGCACTGGAGAAATCATGTTTTACACAGCCATGTTTTTTCTCTATCAGGTATCAATCTAGTTTAGTATTTCTCTTGGCCGCTATAGTACAGGGCAAGGACAGAAATTCAGTCTATCCATCCAATTTGTCACACTTTTCAGATTTTAAACTTTATAGTTAAGAATGAACAAAACAGGTAACAAGTAAAACTTACATGGAGACACTAAGTTCCAGGCCAGCCTGGGCTACACAGTGAGAATTTGTTTCAAAAAAATTTATGTTAGAGAACCATGCAATTGAGTTGTAACAGTGCAAAAAACAAAAACAGATCTCAATGTTTTACATAAATTTCTGATTTTGTGTTGCGATATGTTCACAGTTATTTTTGGCTGTACACAGCTGTGGCAGGTTATGTGTTGGACAGGCCTATATCAGATTCATGTGACACAGCTATTTGTAGGGAAGGCTAAAGTTGAAGGCGGGGGTCATACATTGAGCCTTGAACTTTATCCTTTGGGTGCCTGGAAACAAGGGGGAATATTTTAGGGCATGAGTATGGAGATTTAAAAAACTCAGCAGAGCTGGGTGTGGTAGCATATAACCTTTAATCTAGTGCTCAGGAGCTTAAGACAGGAGGATTGCAGGATCCAAAGTAATCTTGGATAAGTGTGAGTTCCATGCTAGCTTGGGCTACACAGAGATACCTTGTCTCAAAGACCAAAGCAACCCAAAAAACCTTACTGGGGGACCAAGTCAAGCTGTCCCGAAGCCATATATTCAAATTCTGCCTAAGAAATCCTAATGCTGCTGAACACAGGGAAAAGAACACTTTCTCCAACAAATTACACCTCAGAATTCACTCCAGCAGGCATACACAGTTGCTTCTGTTTACTGACCCAACTCTAGGTCAAGCCCTCATCCATCATCTTCTTTTCAGGAGTAATGCGCCAGCCTCCTCATTTTCCCCTTTCATTCCCTACAGTCTACTGACCACACAGAAATATTTTAAAATGAAAATGAGATGTCACACCATGAAAGCAAAGATTAACCCTTGTACCTTTTGCATAATGAACTAACTAGAAAACCTATAACAAAAAGAATTTTAGCTACTTGGATTTGTAGAATTTGGTGTAATGGTAGCACGAAGGTTTTTGAGACCTTAGGTATAGGTTCGATGCCTGAAATTCTAGAAACAAGAGGGCTTGACCAGTGCCTTCCTTGCCTTTTAGGCTAAAATCTAAACACTTTGCTTTGTCTTGTACAAGGTCTGAGTACCACTCCCACCTGCCTGTACAACTCGCTTTTCTTCTGTTTCCCTGTTGCTTGCTATCCTGTGTAACACTCTATCCCTTGCCACAAACTGTCTCACTAGTATCACAGTAGGGTCTTTGTGTGTGCTTTTTACTTTTCTTCTCTTTTTCTTCAAATATCACCTAGGTAACACCTCCTTAGAAAGACTTGCCTGACTACCATCTACTTCCTCCAGATGCCATCTTATACATTTACTTCCTTCACAGCACTCTGCTCCCCCATGTCAATAGAAGCCTCCCTACAGCAGAGACCCTGCTTGTCCTGTTCACTGCTTGCTAGATTCTCAGCGCCTGTCACTAATACATGCTCAGGAAACACTTTTGACTTCCTGAATGCATGCCCACATACCTTCAGAGGTCCAAGTGAAGTCTCACCATTTTCTTGTTGCACTGGAAGCTGGTCACTGAATGACAGCAGCTCTGACTGAATGACAGCTCGCAAAGAAAGTGATGCAGATCCAATGACTTCTGGCTGATGGAATAACGAAAGAAAAGGCTTAAAGAGAAGCCACAAGGGATTTTAATGAAGGGATGACCTATGATGCTTTATGAAGTACAATACTAATAATGATGTGATTAAGATACTTATATTCTCTCATCATTCAGTCTCCCTTCTGGGTCTCATGATCATCCCTTGGAAAATTAGAGAGACTTTATAAGTCATGGAGTTCTTCTTTTTTTAATTAAAACTTAGTTTTAGCCACATACTGATTTTTCTGTAAAGTTCTTTAACAAATGTTTAAAAAAGGAGCTCTTGACTCAAAATGTTCAAACTTTATTCTTAAAAATAAAAAAAGAGGAGCTGGAGGGATGGCTCGGTGGTTAATAACACTGACTGCTCTTGCAGAGGACCCAGGTTCGAGTCCCAGCACCCACATGGCAGCTACAAACTGTCCTTAAGCCCTCTTCTGACCTCTGTGGCATTGCATGACATGGGTACACTCACATACATGCAGGCAACACATACGCATAAAATAAAAATAAAATAGTAAAAAAAAAAAAAAAAAACCACGCACACACACACACAAAAATAAAAATAAAATTAAAAAAAAAAATTCAGAGCTGGGTATGGTGGCACATGTCTTTAGTCTCAGCAATTTGGAGGCAGAGGTAGGTGGATCTCTGTGAGTTCACAGCCAGCCTGGTCTACATAGTAAGTTTCAGGCCACCTGGGACTACAGGGAGATCCTGTTTCAAAAAGACCAAAACAGAATTCAGATGCTATACATTCTTTGCTATTAAAACTAAGAAAATTACAACACTTGATATACCTTATGCTGTCAAGGCTATGAAGGAACAAAAGGCTGTGCGATATCAGTGAAGCCAGGAACATAAACTACCATCATACTTTTCCCAGCACCCACATGGCGTCTAAAAACCATCCTTAACTCCAGTTCCAGGGGAATCCGAAGCCCTCTTCTGACCTCCAAGGCACTGCACAACACAGGTGCACTCACATACATGCAGGCAACACACTCATACATATAAAATAAAAATAATAAAATATTTAAAAAATTTATTTATGTACTTTTATTTTATGTGTATGAGTGCTTTGCTTGCATGTATATGAGTACACCCATGTCATGCAATGCCACAGAGGTCAGAAGAGGGCTTAAGGATGGTTTGTAGCTGCCATGTGGATGCAATGCCCAAGGAGGCCAGAAGAGGGCATTGGAATCTCTGGAACTGGAGTTATAGATGGTTCTTAGCTGTTATGTAGGTGCTGGGAACTAAATCCTGGTTCTCTGCAAGAACAGCCTGTGTTCTTAACTGCTGAGTTGTCTCTCCCGCCCAAAATATATTTTTAGACAAGAATCCTGGCAGTTACAGAAAGCTTTATATTTTTTGGTGTACCAATTCGTTTCTAGAATTTATGCTACATAAATAATAATACATAAAAGTTGTGCACAAATATGTATGTTAAAAGTAGTAGTTCATAATTAGAGATGACTGGATATCAATAAATTAGAATTATTAAGCTAATTTTAGCACATCCATATAAACTGATTACTTTGTATGATCACAACTGCATGATATGCAGCTATCAAAGTGATCAGTTCATTAAAAAGTTTTTTGTTTTGTTTTAAAATTTTTTTTTTTTTTTCAGGCAGGGTTTTACTTTGTAGACATGTCTGGCCTGGTACCTGCTATGCAGACCAGGAGTTCCTTCTGTTTCTGCCTCCCACATGCTGGGATTACAGTCATGTGCCAACTATTCCTAGCTCACTAGAAATTTTATTTTTGGTCTTTTTTTTTTGATACAGGGTTTCCCTGTAGCCCCAGCTGACCTGAACTCACTTTGTAGACCAGGCTGGCCTTGAATTTACAGAGATCCACCTGCCTTTGCCTCTTGAGTGCTGGGATTAAAGGCATGAGCCACCACACCTGGCTGTGTCTTGCTATTTTCCTAAGAGTTTGTATTATTTATAATCTCAGGAGAGAAACAAACAAATGCATTAGTGCCATTAGTATGAATGCATTCGTGCCATTCATACTAAAGATGAGGTCAGAAGACCAGGTTACTCTCACGGAGGAAGTCAACACTGCTCACGTTATTGAGTGATAATGGACCAACTGCAAGGGAATTTTATAAACCTGAAATTATTTGATCAAATGCTACCTACAATTTTTATAATTTTGGAACATGGGATGGGTATTTTAGGTATTCTACCTACAAATAGGAAAGAGAAACTTAAAGCTAATAAAATATAACCTATATCAATACCAACAGCCATCACCCTATAGCAAAGGAACACAGTAAAGAGCTTAGGAGTTTAGGATCTGTCTGGTGTAGTGGTGCACACCTTCAATCCTAGCATTTAGGAGGATGAGACAGGAGAACTGCAACTTCAAGATCAGCCTGGGTTACATAAATGAGACTCTGTCTAAAAATAACCAAACAACAACAACAAAAGCCAAAACTAAATTGTGTTTAGGATTTGATGGTTTTTTGGTTCTGCCTTTTGTTAGACCGGGAATCTCAGACGTGTTACTGAACTTCATTAAATCTCAATCTCTTCATCTACAAAATGAAGATAATGTATTTAATTCATAGAGGTATTGTGAGTCAAGTTTGACAGTGTGTTGTATAGAACATTTAGCACAATATCTGACTTATTACACAGTAATAATAATAATAGTAAGTGAAATAAGCATGTGTTGGTTGAGCCCAGTTTATCTATGAAAACGATTTTAAGTATACCAGGCATGAATGGTGAGGAAAGGTCAGTCAACTTGACCTACCTTTTTCTGTGGAGTTTTCTTTGCATAGATTTGGAAAGTGAGGTTAGAATTCCACCAGTGCTCTATCATTGAGCCATCAAACTGTACTGGACACACAAATCGCTGCTGGAATTTCACCACTGTTAAGGAGAACAGATATACAGATATCCATCACACAGTCCAACCAGCCATCATTAATCCATGCTTTGGTATGACCCATTTCCCTTCTACTTCTTTTGGCAATTTAGCCAGTGTGACTTCAGAGAAGGCAGTAAGGGTTGTAGGATTGAAGACGCAGACAAAGAAAAAACCCTGGGCAAAGTAGCAGAGGACAGCAGTGCTCTATTGCCAGGCCGTGCTGAGAGAAATGATTGTCCAGCATGTGAACACAGGGTGTGTGAGGCAACATCCCCATATTTTACTGCAGTTAACGTAATGGAACCTTGTAAAAGGCAAGTTGGTAGATAGTTAAAAAAAGAGAGAGACTGACTGTACAAAAGACAATGAGGGATAAATGAAATCAGAAAAATGGAATTTAAAATTCTAATAATAAAACCGAGTTAATACTCTGGTTAATGGACAGGATGCGCCTACTGTCACACTCAGACCAAGTATCAGATACTAATGTTAGCTAGTCATGTCATGCAGAGTAAAGACCCTCTCTTGGATGGAAAGGGATTAGTGAAACTGTATGAAGTAATGGTGGTATTTAGTTTGTCTTCATTACGGAGCTTTATCTAGGAAATCAAAAGGAATTTAAGACTAAAAGCAAAGGAGATGCTCTCAAGCTCTAGCTCTGTTACTTATCAGTGACAATTGCAGCAACAATTGTCACCTGTAAGATGATCTTACTGTTCATTTACTTCTAAGGTCTTTAAAATAGATCTAAGGAACTCACATCAAGAGCCCAGGCCTGTGGAGAATCTGGCATCAATGGTATTCATTCATCAAATGGCCCATTTTGACCTACTCTTCTATTCATCTTTGGCAACTTTTGTTTTTTTTAAAAAATATTTTATTTATTATTATTTTATGTGTATGAGTGTAATGCCTGCATGTGTGTAAGTGCACCCATGTCTTGTGATGCCCATGGAGGTCAGAAGATGGCACTGGATCCCCGGAACTGAAGTGCAGATACTGTTTTTAAGGATAAATGGTTAATGAACATTTATGCTAGATATACCAAGTGAGAAGTTCTCTATGTACATTTACTGAAGTGTTGTTTTTAACAGCAGATGATATAAGCACCTTAAATATTGATCAATAGAGGGATGTTTAAATTATAACATAATGTCACAATAGAAGAGCAGGTAGTGAAAATGGAATGATGATGCTCTTTAGATCCTGATATGGGGAAATCCCTAAGATATGTGTTGACAGGATACATGGCGATCTAACATGCACAAAATGGTGTGGAGGCAGAAGGAAATACAGGTATTTGCTGATAAGTGCATGAAACAGACTCAGGAAAGACACATCGTTTGCTTAAAAAGATGGAACTGTGAATGGATTATCTAGTTCAAAAAGCAAGCAAGCAAAAACAGAGAAGGCCAGTAAGCACAAGAACAGATGCTCAATGCCGTTAGGCATGGGGAGATATACACCAAAATCAGAAAGTGATGTCATTTCACACTAAGATGGCTAAAACAAAAACAGTGGGAAGTAGCAAGTGTTGATGCTGAGAAACTTGACATCCTCATGTACACTCTAGCAGGGAATGCAAAATGGTATACTCACTGTTGAAAAAGTTAAAATACAGTGACTATGTGACTCAGCAATTACACCATTAGATACATACACTGGAGAAACGAAAACGCTCCTCTATACAAAGCCAGACACACAAATTTCATAGCAGCATTAGATAAAACTGCCCCCAAAGTGGAAACCTATCAATGGATGAAGGGATAAATGAACGGAATATTAAGAAACCATAAAGATGAAACATTGACATACAACATAATGTGGATGAAACTTGAACATATGTTAAGTCAATGAAGTAGTCATAAAAATCACATGTTGTATGATTCCATTTATCATGAGATATCCAGAATGGACACACTGGTGGAGAGAACAGGTTGGTGGCTGCTCGAGTGGGTGGGGAGGGGACCAAATGCTAGTAAGTATGGGGATTTTTTAAGTAAATGAAAATCTTCTAAAACTAGATTATTTTGGCGAGTATGCAGCTCTGCGAATATATTAAGAACCATTAGATGATACACATCACATGGGTGACTTGTATATGAATCATATTTTCACAAAATAAATTTGGCAATATTGAAAGAACATGATTTTTTTTAATTTTAACTTTCTTTTCTATTTTATGTGTATGCGTGTATTGCCTGCACGTAGGTAAGTGCACCTGTGTTGTGTAATGCCCACGGAGGACAGAAGAGGCTGTCAGAGTCCCTGGAACTGGAGTTACAGACAGTTGTTAGCTGCCATGTGGGTGCTGGGATTCAAACCCAGATCTTCTGCAAGAACAGTCAGTGTTCTTAACTGCTGAGCCATCTCTCTAGCCCCGAAAGAACATGATTTAAGAATCAGATGTTCTTTTTTAATATTTTATTATTTTTATTTTATGTGTATGAGTGTATTGCTTGCATGTGAGTGCACCTGTGTTGTCCAATGCCGCGAAGGTCAGAAGAGGGCTTCGGATTCCCCTGGAACTGGAGTTAAGGACGGTTTGTAGCTGCCATGTGGGTGCTAGGAATCGAACCCAGGTCCTCTGCAAGAGCAGTCCATGCTCTTAACTGCTGAGCCATCTCTCCAGCCCCAGAATCAGACGTTCTTAACCAGGCTCCAGGGGACAGACCCACACTGAAGGACATTTGGCAACACAGATTATACTCTATGGGCCTTATTATTTATATAATAGAGCACATTCAATTGGGCAGAGGGTAGTAAGCAGAAGTGTAGATAGGGGAAGAAATCTAAATACCATCAAATGACATTGTATGAAAATTGCAAAAATTCAATTAAAGAAAAAAAGAATCAGATATTCTGAACTCCTGTCTTGTCATGTTATGAACCTGTTTGCTACATCTGGATTGTCCTAAGACCACTGGGCCAGTTTCCTCACTTTTAAAATAACACAAGTATGGTAATTCACTGCAAATTTTTTGCAAGCTCCAAGATTCTGTACTACAAAAGTCAAATGAGTAATTAAGTGTTCATAACTTCTTTCAGGTCAGTGTCTAAAAAGCAGAAAACCAGTATGTTTCTTACCTCCGTCCATAATCTTACTGGAGGCGAGTCGAACAGTCTCAGTGATCAAAGCTTTCTTCCCCAGACTGCTTTTAGAAAAGCCCACAGGAAAGTGATATTCCACAAAGAAAGTGCTGGGGGGGGGGGCGGAAAGTGATTAAAAACATACCAAACAGTAACTGTTTTCTGCCTATAGCTCCTATCTTTGAGGGTCCCATTTTTGGGACCTTATATCCTCAGATGTGTGTCTTCAAAGCTTTCATCATCCTGGCCAGGGGAACAGAGCTTGTTTCTGACAGCTCCTATAGCACTTATAATCTAAAACGTCTACCTTGGCCTCTAAAGCCCTATATTATAAACAGCCATTTAAGTGTGCATCTCTCTTGCTAACTTTAATGTCTGAAAGAACAGACTTTCCATCTTAATAGTCCTTATTTCTTTATTTTTTAAAATATTTATTTTTATTTCCTGTATACGCATGTATTGCCTGCATGTACGTAAGTGCACTTGTATTGTGCAATGCCTGCGGAGGACAGAAGGGACTGTTGGATCTCCTGGAACTGGAGTTACGGACAGTTGTTAGTTGCTATGTCGGTGCTAGGATTCGAACTCAGGTCTTCTACAAGAACAGTCAGTGTTCTTAACCACTGAGCGATCTCAGCAGCCCCAAAAGTCCTTATTTCAAATTGACCTTGCCTAGTTCTTTGGAGCTTTGATTCCTTTTTATGATTGTATAATGTACATGAAAACAAACTGTAAATCAAAGAGTGTCACATACAATCAGCCACCCTTTCCCCAAATGGCACATTTACTTTCCTATGTTAGAGACATACCGCTTTTTTGCTGTTGTGGGCTTAGGTGGTCTCTCCGATAATGCTTTTCGGCCTGATGTCATCTGGGGACTATCTGGAGGAACTCCCATTGTTTCAATGATGATTCTGACTGAATGTGTTCTACCCAGAAGAGCCAGTCTATCCACACTGAGTGACATCACTTGAGTATTTCCTGGAGTCTTTGAGAGCACCTGTTGGTCAACCAAATTTCTGCAAAGAGTTCACACAGATATGCAGTTAGAGGCCCAGTACAGAACAATGCAGGTGCACAGGAAAGAACAAGGCGGAAGAACAGCAAGTGTCTGTTTTCAAAACTAAGTGGAAATGGCCTTTTGTTTTGTTTTTTGAGACAAGATCTCATAATGTAGCCCAGGTGGCTTAGAACTCACTATGTAGCCTAGCCTGGTCTGGAACCCTGATCTTCCTGTTCCCACTTCCCAAGTGCTAACATGCCCCAGGTTAGGCCTTTATCAGGATCTGGTTCTAATTCCAAAAGAAACCTCAAAATGAGTAAAAAATATTCTTTTAACTTAAAGATTTATATCTACACAAGTACAGAAACAGATGTTATAGAATTAGGTTTTTTAGTCAAATTTATTGTAGTTTACCCACTACCAGTGTCTAGTAATCTTTGTTATTCTGTGTCCTTTCCTTTCCTTATACTCATTTTCTCCCCCCGCCCCCCCCTTTTTTTTCTGGTCTTTTTGAGACAGGGTCTCCCTATAGTCCCAGCTGGCCTGGAACTCACTATGTAGACCAGGCTGGCCTTGAACACAGAGATCATCCTGCCTCTGCCTCCTGAGTGCTGGGATTAAAGGCGTGTGCCACCATGCCCAGCCTTTATGCTCATCTACATTAGTGTGATCACAGAACACATTCAACTAAGTATTCTGCTTTTTCATCAGCCTGTCCTTTCATGTCATTTGCTTTTAAAAAACATTTTAAAAAATTTATCATTTTTATTGTAGTGTATGAGTGTATTGCCTGCATGTGTGTAAGTGTACTCATGTTATGCAGCACCCATGGAGGTCAGAAGGTGTTGGATTTCCCTGGAACTGGAGTTACAGATGGTTGTTAGCTGCCATGTGGTGGGAATCAAATCTGGATCCTCTGCAAGAGCAACCAGTGCTCTTAACTGCTGAGCCATCTCTCCAGTCCCTAAAAAAACATTTTTTAAGATTTACTTCTTTTTATTTTATGTGTTTTGATTGCATGTATGCATGTGCCACAGAGGCCAGAAGAGGGTGCTGGATGCCCTGGAACTACAGTTATAGACTAGAGAGAGAGAGAGAGAGAGAGAGAGAGAGAGAGAGAGAGAGTGAGTTAGCTGCCATGTGGGTTCTGGGAACCCAATCCAGGTCATCTGCAAGAGCTGGAAGTTCTCTTTAACTGCTGAAAATCTTTTAAAGACTGAAATGCTTCACTGATTCACCTTAACTTACCCACCCAGACAGGCTGGGAAACCAGCCATTGTACTTGTGACCTTGGGAAGACCCTGTGCCTTGCTCCTGCCTGCAGTTGGCATTCACAGCAGCTCACCGGCTTTTCTTGCCTGCTCCTCTCTTCTTCAATTTACATTCACTTGGCTCCACAACCTTAGAAGACCTTCCAAAAGCCTTTGACTGGTTCATTATTCTGGAAGGTTCTGTGCCATCATCTTCACTGAGGAAATCACTGACACTGACATCAGAGTTCTACAGGAAGAGGAAACAGAAGGCAGGACATTGAAAGACAATTGCTTTGGGGAATATAGTGATGAAACATTCTCTAAAAGCAAGTGACTTCTCTACATAAAAATTCTCTTAAAAGAGATAACTGACACCAAGGACAGTGTAGGAGGTGAAGTGCCAGACCTAAGCACATGCCACACTAGAGAGCACAGCTTCCGCCTTGAGAGCACAGCCCACGCTTCTGCTAAAGAGCCAACCTATAATCTGCCCCCAGACATAGAGACTGATGATGTGAGTGGCTTGGATGAGGGGATCTATCAGAGAGTGACACACCAGCTTATGGGACACTGGGGGCAGGGGGAGAGATATATAAGGCCTGCCCTTCCCAGCAATAAATGAGTCTGCAGCACCTCTCCTAGTGCCTGCTTCCACCCGACTCCCCGTGTCTGTGTGTTGACTCCGCGCTGCTCACCCCCACCTCAGTCAGAACCCTCGTTCTCTGCGAGAACCGGCAACAGCTGGCGCCCGAACAGGGTTCTTGGCATCCCCGGCATTGGCGACGCCCCCAACCTCGATTCGTTCGGTGAGTAGGCCCCGGGTTTTGTCTGTCCCTTCGGCTGCTTGAGGGTGAGCGAGTGGCCCCCTCCTCTGTCCCCTCTACCGTTTGTCATATTTGTTGTTAAATCAGGAAGGCACACTCCTCTGCATGGTCCCGAAGCCCACATCAACACATTTTATTCCTTGGCTCGTCCCGGTGAGTTCACATATGGGCTGATCCACCCTGAACAGGTCATCCTGTTTCCTGTCCTGGAGACCCTGTGTGAGCATACGGCTGAGGGTGTCACGGCCCTCAGAAGTCCCTCACTAAGCACAAGACATTTGGATCCGATACACCTCTTCATGTCGGGGTGGTTTACATCCGAGTGGCTCCCGGTCCTTGTTTGCTTCATTTGTGCCCTCTTGGTAGTCACCCTTGCCTTTTACTTTTGTGGCGAGTTTCCCTTCACAGAACCATCCCATGATGGGCAAACTACCACCACAATGCAAGGGGCCACAAACGGCAGCACTCAAATCACTCCTTAGAACTCGGGGACTGAAAGTTAAACCAAAAAGTATTGAAAGTTTCTGGGATGAGGCCACTGACTTGGCCCCATGGGTCTATCCAGAGAATATGTGGGATCCTGACCTCTGGATGCGGGTCCTCTTCTTGGCCCAAAAAAGGGAAGTAGGGTTGGAAGTTGTTCCCCCTGCCTCATTTGTCCTGATCCTTTTAGCCATCATTGCCAGCCTTAAATCCTCCTCCCCTGAAGAAGTCATTTCAGCCCATAATAAGCATTGTCAGAATTAGGCCAGTGAAGACCTTGCCATTACTTCAACCCCCGCTGACCTTGATATGGGAACCAGCCTTGAAGTCGATCCAGATGAGGAAGGGGCCCCCTAGCCCCTACCTCAGACCCTGCTTTCAAAGCCACAACAATCAGAGACACCACGACCCCAGTATCCTGGGAAGGAACTACGTTTTGCCTGCTCCAATGCACCTCCTGCTCATTATACCCCTGACATGGCCCATCCACCCCTTACTGCCCCTTGCTGGCTTGTGTCTGCCTTTCCGGTTAATGTCAGCCCCAATGCTGTGCAATAGCCATGGGTGCCTACCCCTCTCACAGACCTTGCACTCATCCGCAAAGCCGCCAATGAATCAGTGCCCAATTCCCCATATTTTGAGCAAGTTCTCTGCCAACGGACCAGGCAGTTACAGACCCATTATGATTGGTATAACTTATTAAAGGCGGTATTGGAGCCCTCAGTCTTCCTGAGCTGGTGTTTGACCTATGATTATCAGGCTGAAAATCAGGCACGTCTCAACCTTCAATATGGCCTTAATATTACTCTGGATATGCTCACAGGACGTGGATAATATATTGACCCCATTCCCCAGTCCACTATTGGCCTTCATGCTTAATACACAGTTAGTGACCTGGCCTTCAAGGCCCTTAAATGTTGCTCCCCCCGTGACCCATAGGCATTCTTCCGCAATCTGATTCGGCAGCCAGGGAAGTTCTTCACAGACTTCCTTGCCCGAGTTATTGGAGTGGTGGAACAGAGAGTGGAGTCTGGGACCACCCGAGATATGCTCGTCAAACAGTTGGCATAGAAGGCCTAAATACTCCTCCTGCAATGCTATCACGCCTGTCTGCAATGATGGTATTCATAAATGAGTACTTGCCACTAGAGACCTAGACCCCAGGCCAGGGCCCATCGAGGCCCTGACCACCTTCTTAGAGGCTCTCTTATTACAAGGAAGGCCCACCCCCTCTGATTCAAAAGATGGCTGCTAGAACTGCGGGAGGACAGGACACCTCCACAGGGACTTCCCGAACAATGGAGCTCGTCCCAAGACTCACTGCCCCAAATGCAAAAAGGGATTTCATTGGGCAAAAGATTGCAGGTCACGGCCCCAATCAGACTCGGCTCCTTTAAACTCTACCCAGGGCATCCCTCAGCCCCACAAGTAAGAGGGGGAACGAGACAGGTTTTTATGGACCCTTCCAATTCTTAATCACTCCTCCCAATGACCTTATTCCTGGATGGGATCGCCGTGAAGGGCCTAGTGGACACGGGAGCTGATGTTACCATCATCACCGAGAATGAGTCTCTTCGGTTCCCCCATTGGAAATATTGGCCTGGCCCGCCCATTAAGGGAGTGGGTGGCAGCCAGGACACAAAGTTGGTAGTCCGCCCAGTACACTGGAAGGACTTAGATGGGAGTAAGGGCACAGTCACTCCCATAGTGGCCAATGTCCCCCTCAACTTGTGGGGTTGAGATGTCCTGGAGGACATGGGTGTGGTCCTTACCACAGATGATCAGGCCTTTTATGATGTGTCATAGTCCATGATAAACTTGACCTCTCTGGGAGAAATTGGAGCCCTGACCAGCACCCCCAATTCTAAGGTCCAATGCCCTCCCTGGGACATCCCCTAAGGAGTCTCCTACACCGATTGCTCTTACCTGGCTCTTGACAGATGTGATCTGGGTGGAGCAGTGGCCTATTACAGAACCTAAGTTATCTATCCTCAAAAATTTGGTCCAGGAACAGCTGGACTTCAGACATTTGGAACCATCCACTAGTAAATATAATACCCCAATATTCATTATTAAAAAGATAAATGGCCGTTTTAGATTGCTTCAGGACTTAGGCGCCATTAATGACCAAATGGAAAAAATGGGCTCGACACAGGCCGACTTGCCCCACCCTGGCACTATTCCTCCTCCTTATTATATCACAACAGTTGATATTAAAGATTATTTCTTCTCATTCCTGCTGGACCCCCAAGATTGTGATCACCTTGCCTTTATGGTTTGGGAACTGAACTTCCACAAGCTGGCCCTCAGATATCAACGGAAAGTCCTTCCCCAGGGAATGAAGAATAGTCCTACTATCTGTCAGCTTTTTATCTCACGAGCCACTTCAGCCATCCCTCATAGTGTACAATTTATTCACTATATGGATGACATTGTTATCCCACCCTAACCCACAATTTCTCTGAAAGGTAACCAGAGACTTGCTCTCCTGCCTACATCCCTTGGCTTGTCTATTACCTTAGATAAGCTACAGGAGGTGCCTCCTATGCCTTCTTGGGGCATACCATTTCAGTCGGCATATGCCCTATGGCCCCTGCCTTTAATTCAAAGCTGGTCTATACACTAGCCAATTTTCAACAACTCTGTGGCACCATAAATTGGCTTAAACTGTTCTTGCCCATTCCCTCAGAGGAACTGAGGGCACTGTTTTGTCTTTTGGAGGGCCCCACCTGCCCTTCAGCAAAGATTAACTTAACTCCCCCGGCCACTGCCTTATTGCAAAAGATCATTGAGTTACTCTCATCAACAACCCTCTACAGGTATGAGCCCTTACAATCCCTGCAGGCTTTAGTGCTATTGACTTCTTCTGGTTTCCTTGGTGCCCTTTGGCAGACTGGGCCACTTATCTGGGTCCATCTCTCATACTCGGAGCTCTAGCAGCGTTCTTCCAAGTTTGATCTGGCCTTTAACTTGACAGTCAAACTGCACACTCACGCTCGGAAAACCTTCAATAGAGAACCCGACGCTATTGTACTCCCCTTTCCCCTCCATAACCTACAGGCCCTCTGGGCTGATTCCATAAGTTTTCAGACTATGATGTCAGGCTTCCCAGACACCATTGACAATCACCTGTCCCAAGACAAAAGAATTCAGGCCATTCTCACATTGCTGTTTGAGGTTAAGCCATACAGCACCCCTTCCTCTTCTCCAATTCCCCAAGCAACCACTGCATTTTCAGATGCCAATAAGAACAACTTTGGGGTCCTGATACATCGTCCTGGAAAAAAGGACATCACCCACATCATCCCTAATCCTGGCTCTGTCCAGTCAGGAGAACTTCTTCTTATACTTAAAGCTTTAGCAGAGTGTCAAGCTACAGGAATGCCTAGAAAATAGAAGTCACCCATGGTACATCTCACATAACCATTCACATTCTGCCCTTCCCGGAATCCTAGTTCAGGGAAATGCTGCCACAGATGCCATGATCATGAAAGTCCAGTCTGACCTGTTAGAACAAGCAAGAGCTTTGCATCAACAATTCCTCCTGTCCCCTCAGAGTATTCATAAACTCCTCCCAGAAATCCCCGTGTCCCAATGCAAGCACCTCATCTGCTCATGTGCTACCTGTGCCCCACTCATGCCTCTTGGGCCCCTTAACAGGGGAGGAGTGAACCCCCGTGGTTTGATACCCAATGTCATTTGGCAGATAGACGTGACTCACTACCTCCCTTTTGGGAAATTGAGATTCATTCATGTTATAGTTGACACATGCTCCTCCCTTATTTACGCTTTAGCTCTCTCAGGGGAAAAGACTATACATGCCATTAAAGCCATAAAGCTATGTTAATCATGGGCATACCCTGGGCGCTTAAGACTGATAATGGGCCTGCTTATTCCTCTCAAGAATTCAATAAATTTGTTTCCTCCTCAGGAATCAAAC